ATTTGGGTGGGCTTAGAGAATTCCACGTGGCAAAAATCTACTTATTTATTAGATTAGGGGATTTTACATTTTTCATCTTTTTTTGGTTTTTCTGGTTTTTTTTTTAAATTTTTTCATATTATTTTATTAATTATTTGTTTTATTTTTTAGTTTTTTCCTATTTTTATTTTTTTCGTTGTTTCGTTTTATTTTTCATCAATTTGATCAAAAAAATTGACCTTTTTCGAAAAGTGTAAAATGTATGAATATATTAGAGTATGTTACAATTTTGGTGATTGAGTTTTTTTGGTTTTCTATTTTTTTTTAATAATTTTGGTTATTTATTGTTTTTGTAACTTTTTTTTATTTTGTAACTTTTTTTTGTTTTGTAAATATAACTATTTTATTTACTCGAATCAAAATAAAAAAAGTTACAAAAATCATAAATAACCAAAATTATAATAAAAAGATAGAAAACCAAAAAAGACTCAAACACCAAAATTGTAATATAATCGAATATATTCATACATTTTATATTTTTTGGAAAAGATCAAAAAAAGTTATCAAATTGTAGAAAAATAAAACGAAACAACGAAAAAAATAAAAATATGAAAAAATTAAAAAAAGAATACGAAAAATATTAAAAAAATAATATGAAAAAATTTTAAAAAAAAAATACGAAAAAACCAAAAAAAGATGAAAAGTGTAAATGTATTAATATATTAGAGTATATTACAATTTTGATGTTTGAGCTTTTGTGTTTTGTTTTTTCTATTTTTCATTACTTCAATCAAAATAAATAAAAACAATAGAATAATAATAAATAACTAAAATTATATAAAAAAAATAGAAACAAAACCAAGATAGATTAAACAAAGTAGACAAAATTTCATAATTGGTCTCTGTGGTTTACAAAATATCTTACTTTGAGGACTTTCAAGGAAAACATCACGCCACTGGTCCTGTGATTTACATGAAAGGTCCTCGTGCTGTTAAATCTAAATTTTTAGCTATTAGATTTTAATAAAAAAGACTATAACGCTTCAATTCACAAATAAGAAAAATTAAAGAAAAACAATGTCGACATGGTTTATCGAATTTAAGTTTATTACTTGAATCAAAATAAATAAAATATTAAAAAAACCATAAATAAGTAAAACTATAAAATAAAAATTGAAAACAAAATGTCAAAAAGAAAAAAAAAGTTATCAAAATTTTGAAATTGTATATATACATATACATAAAATTTATATTTATAATTTATATATACAAAATTTCAAATATACAAAATTAGACAAATAGTCATTGAGGTTTGTAATATATTGCAAATTTGGTACAAGGATAAAATAGTCTTTTTTATTAAAATCTAATAGCTAAAAAGTTAGATTTAACGACAGAAGGACCTTTCATGTAAACCACAGGACCAGTGGCATAATGTTTTCCTTGAAAGTCCTCAAAGTGAGATATTTTGCAAACCACATAGACCAATTATGAAACTTTGTCTACTTTGTTTAATCTATCTTGATCACTGAACTTGTTTATTTTGTTCATTTTGGTCACTCTAACCGAGGATAACATGTATATAAAATCGAACGACATTGTTAAGGTTATAATTAGTCATTGAACTTTTCTGTGTGTTTTATTTTAGTCATTATTACTTTGTTTAAGCTACCATTGATCACTGAGTTTTTTTTATTTTTTTCATTTTAGTCACTCTAGTTTTTTTTATTATCATTTATAAAAAAAAAATTAAAAAATAACTACTATTTTTTCCTTTTCTCCACAACTAAACTTGTTACATAAATTATTTAAAGTAAATTATATGAATAATCCTTGTGATTTACTGTAGGGTGCACATTTAGTTATTAACTTCTTTTAACTCGAACGCTCCCAATGACTTTAAAAGAAGACTATTGTGATTTACGATTGGATGCACATTTAGTCACAAGGATTATTCATATAATTTACTCTAAAATAATTGATGTAATAGGTTTAGTTGTGGAGAAATGGAAAAAAAAACCTTGTAGTTTTTAAATTTTTTATAAATGGTAATAAAAAATAGAGTGACTAAAATGAAAAAATAAAAATAAAAAAGTTCTGTGACCAATGGTAGCCTAAACAAAGTATAATGACTAAAATAAAACAACAAGGAAAAGTTCAATAACTAATTATAACCTTGACAATGTTATATACCGGCTATCACCGGTTAGAATGACCAAAATGACCAAAAATAAACAAGTTCAATGACCAATGATAGGTTAAACAAAGTATAATGACCAAAATAAAACACTCAGAAAAGTTCAGTGACTAAAAATGACCTAAACCCTATATCATTTTAACTCCATAACTATATTTTAGTTTTAATTTATTGTATTCATTCACTAATAAATTATTTTTATTAAATATTTAATGATATTTTATTTATGAAATATAAATTTCATAACCATTATATAAATATTTTCATTTGTTGTAATATTTTAGGTATGATGTATGTTTAAAATGATTAATTAAATGAGTGAGTTCTTTATAGAATATTTTAGACAAATGAGAATAATTTAGTTAAATTTAAGAAAAAAAAAACTATTGAAAGAGTTACCATTTAAGAGATCATTTTATTAGAACTTAATTTTTATAGAACGATGAGTTGTCAGTTATTTTGAGTCATGATATAGGTTAATCATTGAAGATGTTTTTAGTTAGAGTAAATGTCACTGTTGAAAAGCCAAAATGTCTCCCGACTAACTTTACTTTTATTTATTGTTATAGTAATTACAATTTTAGTTTTTTTTTATTAAATTTATATTCTTTATGCACTGCTTTTGATTCGGTTTGTATTATTTTTATTAAAATAATTAGTTATTTTTTAAAAGTATTTATTAACTCTAATTTGTTTATTTTCGGCTCCTAACTCTATGGTTCTTTGTAGTAGTCTTCCGTGTCCGTTGAGAGTAGGGATGAAAGTAGATCCAAACTCGGGCCGGATGGACCTGGACCCGAAAAACCCGGAACCGGTTAACGAGATTTTGTAGGACAGGAAACCGAACCGCTATATATAGAACCGATTCTGGTTCGGTTCCGGGTACGTACCGTGTAAAGTGGGTCTAGAACCGGAAAACACAGAAACATCAAAATGGATAGGGTGGAACTGGTTAAAGTGGATTTAGAATCAGAAAAACCATAATTTTTTGGTAATTACTTACTATTTATTGGGTTGAACTTTGAAAATTTTATTGTTAATATCCTGACTTCGGGGGATTGTAAGTCATTGAATATGAACCAAAAATTGACAAAATAATAGTCTAAAATCATGTACAAACTCTATACTACACTTTGGAAAAAACTGCATGTCAATCCGACTTTAAACGGATGAGATATGCACGTTTTAACATTTTCACAGAATACAAATTACAAAAACAAATAGCTAAAAAGTTAAAATTTTCAGCTTTGACATCTCGACTTCGGGAGTGTAATTCATTGAATATTAAACCAAAAATGTCAAAATTATAGTCTAAACTCATGTACAAACTCCAAGTTAGGAAAAAAAACGCATCTAAATTCGAATTCAAACGAATTATATATGAATGTTTTAAAATTTTCACAGTGAACTTTTTCCTTTTTAAACAAGAACTTGTTTTTTATTGAATTGTCATAAAGAGAAAAGTAAACACATATGTTATTCCCTTTTATATTGGTATTCAATTATAGTGGTCGAGCATTACGTTGATCTAGGATTTGTAATTGATTCCCATTACATAGAAAACTATTATTTTATCGTTTTTTCTTTGTTTTTTTATATTTTAATCTTTATCATTTTTACAGGCACATTATCATTTTTATCTATTCTAATAAATAAATTTTTTTGTAGTATGTCTCATTGTCATTATTCCACCACATGTTATTTTGTGGTTATTTTAAATTAAATTTTTCTACATGTCATTTTATAGCTAGGAGCATTTTGGTAAATGTTATAATAAATAGATATCAATTTCAATAATACAGACTTTCTTTTTAATTTTAAAATCTTAAATTGAAGGAGTTTCAAATAATACATGATTTCGATTGTATTTATTTCAAAATTTTATTTCAAAATTGCTTAATGTTAATACTTTTACTATGTTTAAACTCATGGGAATCACGGGTTGTAATAAAAATACTAATCATAACTCGAAATCATAATGACTAATCAAACATTAACTTACAAAGATAAAAAGTTTATAATTTTGTTTTAAAATTAATTAATACAATGTTATGAATATCCAATTTATATTGTGTATGTATGGATATTTTATAAAAGAATGAGTTTGTTTAATGGAATATACATTTGAGTATAGTGAAAAAAACAACAAAATAAATCATGAAAATAGCATTGATATATGACCAATTAAACATGATCGCAATATAATAAACATGCATAAATACAACACAATAAATTTGAGGGAAAACCACAGAAAAACCCTATGTATTATATTGCTTAAAAAACCATTATATTAATTTTATGTACAATTTTTGAAACCGTCTAACCTATCTAATTTATCTGGTAAACCCTAGACACATTCTTATCTTATCACTGTACGTGGAATACCCTTCTGTCATTTTTAGCTGGCATCCATTGTGTACACAATAACCTTGTAAGGATACAATATTCTTGTGTTGAGCTGTTGATAATGATTCCACATCTGCTTTGAATTCTCTAGCGATTAAACCCATGTCTCCACTGCTAGTTTTGTTCCATTTGGTAAAGTTGGTTTGTAGACAATCATTTAATGCAAGACCAACCCCCATCATCTTCCCCAATAAATTTTTGTGGAAACACATCGACTCTCAACAATGCTTACGTTGCCCTCCAAGCATGGAATTAAGCCATCAAGGATGACCCTAAAGGAATCTTGAACTCATGGTTTGAGTCAAATGTGTGTGGCTACAAAGGGGTTTTCTGTCAAGATTCATCAGTTACAGGGATATACCTTAACCATGGTGGTCTCGAGGGTATTCTCGTAAAAGAACTTTCCCTCCTCAAAGACATGACTCTCCTCCACCTCAACAACAATAGTTTCACAGGCACAATCCCAGATAGCTTGAAAGACCTTATTGCCCTCACTGAACTTGATCTCAACAATAACCAATTCTCCGGACCTTTCCCTACCATAATTCTCCAAATCCCAAATCTCATGTATTTAGACCTTAGATTCAATCTTTTTTCAGGACCCATTCCAGACCTTGTATTCACCAAGAATCTTGACACAATTCTACTCAATAACAACAATTTTGAAGGTCAAATCCCACAAAGTCTAGGCAATTCCCATGCTCGGTAAACAATTTAGCCAATAACAAGTTGACAAGTGACATTCCATTTAGCTTTGGGTATTCTAGTTCAGGATTGAAAGAAATCTTGTTCTTGAACAACCAGTTAAGCGGTTGTATCCCTAAAGGAATTGAGAATCACTAATCATGTTGAGTTGTCGCTTATAGAGGAAGGAATGACGTCGGTGAAGGTATTGTTGCTAACATTGAGAGCAATCAGGCTTGGTGTTGACCGGAGAAACGCAACTTGAATTGTGCCATTGAAACGATTACCGGAGAAATTAAGCGATTGGATTGTAGGAGGCAAGATGCCCGGTAACTGTCAAGAAAACCTATTGTAGCTCACGTCAATGGTGTGGAGGTTGCTCATAGAGGAAAAAAGTCCATCGGGGAGGGGACCGGATAGGAAATTACACGACAGGTTTAGGAGGGAGAGAGCGTTGAGAGATTGAAGAGAAGAAGGGATTACACCACGAAGACTTCTATCAGGTAACGACAACTCCACCACCTGATTCCCTGTATGTAACAACCCGATATTTCAAGTCAATGTAATAGTCTAGGTCAACCATTGTAACTAGTTTTAAAGCAATAAAGAGAAATTATTTTGAATATTATGTGCATTTAATTATTTATAAAAAACGCTGAAATCCGAGTTATAACGAAAAAGTTATGACCTATCGAAGTTTCGCGACGGAACCGGCACGACGTTGTGTGACGTAAAAAGTGAATTTACGATAAAATACTTTTTAGCCTTAACAATCTAAATAAAAGTTGTAGCATACGTTAAACCGAGAGTGTGCATAAAAAGAACATCCAAATCTGATTTCGTATGAGGATGTTATGATTTTTCTAAGAATCGACACAACAATATACAACCCAAAATTCGAATTATAGATCGAGCGATTTTTAGCCAACACAACCTAAACGAGAATCGAAGATCTCGTCAATAGTAGTTCAACGGTAAAAAGATAGACGAAAACGGACTACGTATGAAGAAGTTATGAATTTTTAACGGACTTTTCCTGTCCCGGCCTGTTAAAAATATAACTTTAAAAATAAAGTCAAAATTTGCCAACGGAGTCTAATCGACAATTGTAGAGTACGGTCTCACCTACGCGTGGATATAAAGAACGTCGAAAACGGAGCTTGTATGCGAAAGTTATGAATTTTTGAAGTTTGAAAAATAAATTCCGAAGGAGTACGCCCAGCGTACGAGGTTACGCCCCGCGTACTCGGAAGCTAGGTCTGGAGTTGGCCACGTCGCCCTATTCCTTCGCATGTTGGACGCGTGTTTATAGCCTTGACACATTCGAAGCTCGGAACCCGATCAGAGGGCACGTATCTCGTACGCGCAACATACGAAGGTATGCTCTACATACCGAAGTACACCCAACGTACCGAAGTACGCCCAGCGTAATGCGAGACCTCAACCATACTATAAATAGGATGTGAAGCCTCTCGGATTAGTTTACAAATTTCACCGTTTTCTTACCTTTAAACACATTTTTTAGCCACTTTAAATCCCTCGAAGTTTAGAGAACTTCCCTAACACCCGAAGAAAGCCCGAAGCAATCGAAGTCCTTGAGAAAAGAATATTTTTCGGTCGAAACTCTGCCCGTTCAGAACTCGATTTTCACCAGAAACTCGTAATTTCAAGTAGCGAATCACTGCCCAAATCACCACTTATCAAGTGAGTTCATACCCCTATATTTTCCTAACTTTTTCTATGTTTTAGGGGGGGGGGGGGGGATACAAGTAAAACACAAGAAACTTGTGTTAATATACAAATTATTGTTTTATATTTCATTACGTTAAAGTAACTTTACATAGAAATATCAAACATGCAGAACAACGTATTACCAAATTTACAAACGGTTACATGCAAAATACGTTCAAACGAAACAATTATCATTTTTTCAACGAAATAATATCTTTTAAACTATATTAGGTATAGTTTGAGAAAAATTCACATCATTTTACCCTTTCAGGGCAAAGAAAAGATTATGTAAAAATACGATTATTTTTATATACATATTAAATATGATGAAATGGGTAATAGTTTCATGCATATTTTCATTAATAAAACTCGTATCTCGTTGGAAATTTGTGAGTCATTCGTGTTCATTGTACCTACCAATGGTATCCATTGAAGTGTTGTTTTATAACCCAAGTCTCCTCCCGGAGAGCGTGATACTTGTGTATAGATCTATACTAGACTGATGATCCCGCACCCTGGCTGTTAGCTACAGCACGACCGACAGGTTATGGGTGACAAACGTCATATCATTTCGACGCCTGAAGAACGTCGAGGCAGACAATTCATTAATAGCATGGTTATGAAAACTCACATGATAAACGAATATACGATATTTTTACGTGAAATCAATAGTACGCTTATTTTACGTAAATACCCAACTCTTCAAACGGTTTTATTCACAAATAAAACTACATGTTATTAAATTAAGTATGGCATTTATACTTGTACTTTTGGTCTTGGAACAATATAAGACTACAAATCAGCTTTAGGGAAAATATAGGATTTTTCGGGATAAATACGATTATTTTACAAACAAACAGTTTACAAATCAGTTTTATGGAAAATATAGTATTTTCCGAGATAAACATTCTCGTTTTATAAACAAACGAATTACAACTCATTTTATAGAAAATATCGGATTTTCTAGAAACAAACGAGATTTCATCTCATTGAATGGCATATACTTATTCATACAAATGCTTATGAACTCACCAACTTAAATGTTGACACTTTTTCTCAAATAACTTGTATTCCCAGGAAGATAGTAAATACAGGTATCAACAACTTTTGAAGATTTGACGTTAAGGCGTTAAACAAACCTTTTGAACATCATATTGTAATTGACTTTTGGAAACATGTAACGCTTACAACGATGTAACATTTTCGACTATGTATAAGATGGTTGTGTTTACTTTCTTTACTATTCAACTGTTATGATACTGCACATGATGTCCTCCGCCCCCGAATGTTTCCGCCGTTCAGGTTTGGGGGTGTGACACTGTATCATCACAATCAATTCCATCCCATGAACAACAATCAACGGCAACATCTATAAGTAGAATCGGGAACACAAGTATAATCAACAATCAAAGAAAACCCAAATGGAAGAAAAAAAGAAGAATAAAAGGGGTTTTGGTTTTGGTTTTGGCAGCATGATAGCTGCAGAAAAGAAAAAAGAAGAAATGGGAGGAAGGATCAGGAAGAATAAGAGAGATTGTTGAAGATGAGTGAACGATCATGATGATCCATTGATTTGATTTTTGAAGATGATGATTTTTGAAGCAGCAAACACCTTTTTAACTTGAATTTGCTTGTATAAATGATACCACGTCATTTATGTTACCGGTTGGTAAAAGGGAACCGGTTATAAAGCATTAAACAGGATAAGTGAGAAATAATAATGGTTAAATTGTACATAAAATTAATATAAGAGTTTTTTTAACACTCATATATAATACATAGAGTTTTTCTATGGTTTTCCCTAAATTATATATATATATATATATATATATATATATATATATATATATATATATATATATATTAAATCTAAAGGAGCTTAGGAACATTAACTTTTTTGCCTTGTGCCACAAATGTTTAGTGAATTTGACACATTTCATCCCTAAAGTCAAAACTTTTATATTTTTGCGTTTTTATTAAGTTTTGTGCCTTTAGGTTTTTGCCACAAATCTTTAGTGACTTTGACACTTTTAGTCATTACAGTCAAAATTTTTTACATTTTGGTATATTTGCCACAAATCTTTAATGAATTTTACACTTTTCGTCCTTGTAGTCAAAACTTTTACATTTTGACATAAAAAACACAAAAAACCTCCTTTAGAATTTTACTACTATATTTTCCCAACTTTGACATCTTTAACATTGTTGCCACAACATTTTTGGATTTTCTCCACCATTATCCCTTCTTTTGGTTGTATACTTTTGGCATCTAATTTTAGGGGCTGTCGACTTTCTCCCCTATTTGTGGTGATTTACACTTTCAGTACATATCTTTTAATGTATGCCGATTTTTCCCATTTTACCCGAAAAGCGGCGTAGCCGCGAGTTCTTTACTAGTATATGATGAGTTATAAACTCTTAAAGATCGATTAGATTCAAACAAGTAAAAGCAATCAATAAACATAATATGAATCAAGAATGTGTCGAATGATTATAAATCACAACCTCATAAGAGCTCGATAAAGAATTGCTACTGTAGAGGTGTGTAGGCTTTACAATGACACGATTAGCAAATACACGATGTATGCATGCACCTTAAATAGTAAAACCCTAATCATTAATCACAGGTGGACAGGCCCAATCCGGATACACAAAACACTAAGTAAAGGCCCAAAAGACGCAACACCAAAATACTCAACAATCTCCCCCCTTTGCATCGATTGAGGCGAGAGTGCTTCACTGCTGAGTTCGCTTCAGCACTTCAAACACTTTCGGAATTACGCCCAGCAGAACCTTGCGAACTTGGATATACCATTGAATCATATCCGAAAATCACTTCTTGTCACCTTTGCTGTTACCCTTGTGCTTATTGACGAAGTCCAAGATGTACTCAAGGAAAGAAGTGGAGAAAAGGTGTTTGTCGTCGAGAAAGAAACAAACTTTGTGAAAGTCTGCATCAGTTCGCTCCTTCAGTTGAAAAGCTACACACCAACCGTCCTTTTGAATCTTCCCAAGTTTCATTTTATCAAAACCATCAGGGACTTCTTTGGGGAGTACATTTGGCTTCCTTCGCAGCACTACAACAATCTCAACATCCGTATGCCCAACCTCATGAATGTATGAAACAATCATTTGCTTGAGGTGAGCAACAACGGGCTCATATTTCTGTCCATCTCTCAGCAACAAGTTGTAAAGCACGATCCAGTCATAAGGGTTAAGACATGGCAAATCAGCGATGGTGAATTCATAGACCTGACTAGACAAACCTCTCGCAACCTTAAACTTCGCATTTGG